GGCAGTTATATGGGCTAATTTCACCCGTCAAAGTAGATTGCGAATTGTTTATTTGAAAACAACATGAATATTAATGTTTGTTTCAAACCTGCGTGTTTTAGGTTGAGCGATTTAATGGAGATGCAAAGTGCCTCTATAGCTTCACAACAACCTATTAACATTCATTATCAATTATACATTACCCTCACACAACGACATGGTGTTTATTATCTCGCACTTCACGAAGGTCAAACCATCTGTACAGTCTGTAACATGTATGTACGTTAGAAACCTTGCAGCAATGCAAAAGCAGCATGTCTGACATCAGACCCACATATATTCAGTATAGCATCAACAACATGTGTCTGTCCTCACATTATTTATATGTAATGTTACTTGTGCATTCGAAGTGCTTAAATAGCAATGCAAACAATCCTTAAAAACATCAAGGCTTTGACCTAAAGGGACATGATAATTTGTAACAGGTATATTTGGACCTAAACTAAGGTGTTCAGCATAGTTTTACACCTTTAAGGGGTTTAGAACAACTTCCGGTAAAAATGCCACCCAATGATGATACTGTACATGTATATACTCCTTTAGACACCTTAGTTTAGGTCCAAATATAGCTGTAACAAGTCTCAGGTCCCTGTGGACTTAACAATGAGTTATTGGTGGAAAATTAGATGGCAAGGAGCTTGATATACATGTTCATCAATGCTTCACTGTAAACCAGGTTAAGACCCATTATTTTCACAAATCTTCAGAGCAAGATAACCTTGCATTTTTTTGCCACATGCAGGAGTACGGCATACGGCATTAGCAAGTCAACATTTAGTATTACTCGTCATGCCCACGTGTTTAGAAAAGGAACATTTGCAAAAATGCAGATATATTCCCAATAACGATGTTTGCAAAGCCAACACAAAGAACTGATCCAAAGATTTGAACGTAGTATTGTTTGAACTAAGATCTGGCACACTCTCTGTCCTTCATTCCTTCTCTAGAACGAGACAAAGAAAGAACAACACTTTACTCAAAATGAAAGTGCCTGACTAGAAACCATTGTTCTGAGCAATAGAAGCACCGCTGCTCCACTTCCAGTCAAGTCACATTGTGACAAAAACCGGCTCCGAATTACTCCAAACCATTACAAGGTTTAGTATCATCTCCAACGCTACAGAAATAGTATAGTGTATAGATGTTAGTAGCAAGACCTCCAATAACGTAGGATGTCGTAAGAATACAACGTCATCCAGGGTTTGTTGGTGGTGAATATCTAGGACAAGCATACCTCACCCCTATATGAAGTAACATAATTGAATAAATACCAATACATTGTGTTATCTCAACTAATATATAATGTCCATGTAACATTACATACATACAAATATAGTACATACATGCATATATACATAACACAGTATGCGTAGCTCACACATTTAGCGTTATAGCATGACTCAGTCGTAGACCAGTGTTAATTAGTACAAGTCAATAGTATCTGTACGTTATGAAATATCATTTCCTTCCAATCTGCTCCAGATTCTTCCCTCATTTCGTCCTGCTCATGATAATTTCCTAATTTTCACACAAAATGACAGGATTGTAACATTTGAAAGGTAGATAAATTCCCCCCACCTCACCACCAATATTACCACCAAAACATACACAAATGTAAAAAATAACTTAGCATGTCTCCCTTGTCTCTTTTTAACAATCATCAGCAATAAACAGACTTCAATGCCGAAACTTCCAAAGTAACCTTCATGAGCTAACAATGTCCGCGGACCGACCATTCAAACTTCAATGCCGACACTTCCAAAGTAACCTTCATGAGCTTACAATGTCCGCGGACCGACCATTCAAACTTCAATTCGTACATCATATGTTGCTAGGTATCCAAGATATTAACATATATTTAACAATATAGAAATGAAACAAAACACAAAGACTATAAATGAATGTCCATGTGCCGGTAAAAATAACAATATAAATATATATATTAATTTTACTGTCCAACTTAGGGCTAGATTGTATTGAAGATTTAGAAATGTCTGCGTACGGTGTATTCCTCTGAACCACAACGCCATGCAATTATAATATTTCAATTCAAATTTTATATTTAATTATCCTAATCGAATTTCAAAGAAAAAACATTCATTGCCTAACGTTTGTAGTGCATTAGAGTTACAATGCTCTTACATGTATCAAAATATTATCAATAAGTTCTTACTTGTGACAGAATAACTGTTGTAAGTTGACGACTTATACTTACTTAAGTTAATAATAAATTAAATATTCTCGTACAAAATTTTCAAACAATTATTTCATAATTAGAGTAACATTTCCACCTTACAAAAGTTTGTAGGTGTTATCTCCCTTACAACGAGAAGATCCAATCGTATTTTCAAGCGAATTTCGCTCCACTGTGGACCAACTTTTATCCAAACCAGTCGTATTTTCAAGAGGTGTGATATCAATTCGTGTCAACTATTCAACACTGAAAGGGAAGTGGGGCTTCACCAGTCCAGAAATAAAAAAAAAGTCAAACGGAGCTGTAATGGCAAGGGTCGTCACGTGCGCTGGTTACAACCCCATTGGACCGCCTCTGGAAACCGTCTGTATCTGCAAGATAATAGAAAGCAATGTTTCTGAGTATGATTCCAGGTTGGGACAAATAGGTTGTATTTTACTTAAGTGATCATATTTCACGAGCTTCGGTACAGTCTTTGAAACGTTTTGTTTAAACGACAATAACAGCAATAAAATCATAACGGTATTAATGTATCGAGGGAAAGAATTGATTAAAACATTTAAAAGTACAAAGATCATAAGCTAACAAATTGAGATAACAATAAGAGCTATTAAATTATTTGATCGATCGAATTATCACCATTCTGTGTACAACGTTAATAATACATTATACACTTATGTTATTAGGAGTAGATATATGTATCAATTACCTTTGGTATGTTATTAAATAGAGTTTCAATAACAATCATTTTTAACAGGCTAGCAATGCGTACGTGTACCTGTACTATCTAAACCGAAGGACTCCGATTGACGCTTCTTTAATTAAACACAATATTGTATGACGTTTACCTTAATTTGTTTATCAACAAAAACATACAGGATACCGGATACAATATACAAAAATACACAATATTTACAAAAACAATACCGAAAACATAGTACTACAAGGGAGGTAACGCAGTAAACAAGAGTGACAAGATGATAATATTCAAATAATATACTTTATTTAAATTCGATAACACATTGAGTCAAGGACTCATCACACATGTGGTCGACATACAATATACAATATTTACAACATGAATAATAAAAAGATACATAGCATACATGCACACATGAAATACATTAGGTTATAAGATAGTAGCATATCGTTTGGAAAGTCAAGAATATGTCACATGTGTAATTATAAAACTAGTAAGTTGATAAAATGTCACGCAAAGCATAAGTTCTTATGATGCATTTTAGAAATTAAGAGACACATATTGTGTCTAATATACAAATATACCAATATGGCAAATTGTAAAAATTGACCAAATATATGCTAATATAGCATGAGCTAAGACCAAAACAGATATTGCAGAACATTTTTTTTTTTTTTAAAAGTGTAATTAAACCTTCAATTATAACACATGTGACACAGGCATAGGAAAACCGCATACAACCTTAAGAGACACATATAAGTATCTATTCCCATCACATTTCTGTTTGTATGTATTGTTTAAATATGTTCTGCATTATTATTTGAAAGTATTCAGTGTCCGACTTTCAGTGACAGATACTGACAGGCTGTTCCAAAGGGTGGGACCATTGTATCTAAAAGAATTTTTATTTTTTTCCGTTTTGTGTTTTGGAACAGCATATCTGCCTATTGTAGCTGATCTGGTTACAAGAGTGTTGCAATTCAGATAATATGGACACAATTTGTTTATCACTTTAAACATCAAAACACATTCATTATATTCTACTCTTTGGGTAAAAGGCAACCATTTAAGTTTGACAAATAATTGTGAACACCATAATCCACATCTGAGATGATTTGAATGATCCTTTTTTTTTAATTCTTTTAACTTTACTTAATATTTTTTTAGAGCAATGTCCCCAAATGTTTGAACACAAATCAAGGTATCGTAGAATAAAACAATAGTGAAATGTGATTCTGCATGCTGACACTGGAAGGAATTTCTTAATCCTACATAATTGATAAATTTTAAAATTGGAATTTCTTAATATACATGTAGCTGTTTGATATGTTACCATGAATAAATTACAAGTTTAGCTAGCCAAGCACATTTAAAACAAAACACAAGTTAGGAACGCACTCGAGAGAAATAATACACCAATTACATTTGATCCCTGTGATAAAAATCTTCATGGAAAATTGCTTTCAGTGTGCATACAAAAGAGTAACTGGAGTTCGAATTAATCAAAAACTAACACCAAAATTTGAGTGTCGTTGCTCAAAAATGGTTTGCAAATTTATTTGCAATGGATTAGGTTTAAACCAAACTATAAGACAAGTATGTACATAATTTTATATAGATATGAAAATTATCGATTAATGCTAATTCTTGTCCTAGCTTATCTTATCCTTGGTGTGGATACCACCTGCGGCTGTATGATAACCGAGCCCCCACCCACCCCCAGATCAGATACGTATATGTTACAATGTAATATATACGTCTCTGCCAAGATCGAGGTCCTGTAGCCCAGCCCATCGTAGTTTACATTTATACTGTCTCATCATGACGAAACAACACAACTTTCTTACAACCCGTTTACAAACATTGGCGTACTAGGCCATAGGTCGTTCACGAAGGTTTCCAAAGGTTGAGTTGGGACGATAGAGAAGGAACATAACATCCCCTGTAGCGACCGATACATTCCGCACGTGCCTGGCTGTTCGTCTGCCTCGTACATTCCGCATGCACTGGTGTGTATGCACTCCGTTTATATATAGTACACGTTTACAGAAATATCTATCTGTTACCGCATCTAGCCCCAACCCCTCCTCCTCCCCCCAATCATCTCTCTCCTCGCACACTACTCGGCCTATCAGAGTACCACCACAGAGAAGACCGCTCTTCCTTATATATCATTAAATCTCGGAGGTGCAAGAACATCGACTCAAGGAGGAGGTTGTACTTGTGTTTGGCGTAGAGAGGAGAAGGTTTTCACCTGTATCAAGGTGATTTTACCTGAGGACGATAGATAATTCTTCTTCTTTTGGGAATTTCCGTCGATTTCAGTTTTTAACTTTTAAGCATTCCAATTGCACCTGTTAATACGTCATAATGCAGACCTACATACAGCTTCAACGAAACAGTACGATGGATCCCTGGGGATTCAGGCTACAGGGAGGAACCGATTTTAACTCTCAGCTCTCCGTCAAAAAGGTAAGTTACGCATATATCTCTGGAACCATACCATGCTGCTTATCAATGCTGACGGGGTATCTTAATCTATAGCAAGCGTCTGGAATACTCAAGACATTCAAATAAAAAAAAAACAGCGTCATGGTCATAAACAATCATGGACATGGTTAGTTTAAAACTTTATTCTGAAATAAAACCATAACATATTGAATATGGGATTAGCAGGATGGGTAAAGGACGAACGAAAGCCGACGCCACAAGCCAAATTAGTACTACTGAAATACGACTCTTCGACCGGGAGGTAATCTATAGTCTGTTTCTATGTACATGTATATGTTGTAAATAATGTGCATCATGTGAAACTATATGTAGTTGCTGCCTTTTGTGCTATTGTATAATTATTGGATTCAGTAAAATTTTCTTATCTATGTGGAAATTTGCTAAGTCATGAATGTTGAAATTTACGGATTTTATATTGTTGATTTTCAAATAGTAAATACATGTATATGTTTTGTGAAAAAATAGTCGCAAAAATAACGCTTTCGTAAATCCTGAATATAAATATATATTAAGCCAGACCTGTATCCATGTTTACCAGAATCCTATAATTTCTTGGGGTGTCTCCATAGGAACCTTTATAGTTAACCCGTGTGTACAATATTGTCACAGGCGGGGCTCCGTGTAGTACATGTATCTCTCAAGGTACAGTAAAATTCCCAACACGACGCCCCTCGTTTACCACTTTACACTAAGACATCGATGAGCGCCCCCGTTGATCATCTAACAATGTATAACTACCCTCGTTTATATATTCATATACATGTATCTGACATCAACGTTTACAGTTTGGTGATGAACCATTTCGATATTTCAAGATCTCAATATTTACACGTGTATTGATGTGATGTATATTTCATACTTAAAAATCTACATCACTGGATGTCTGAAAAACAAACAAACAAAAAAGAGCATCTTTAGAATATGTTCCTAAGATTATTTTTTCAACCTTTTTGTCTTTGGTTACATGCTACACGTCTTACGAAAGTTGATTCACTTTCGCTATACTTATCTTAAAAACGTTTCATTCCCAAATAAAAATAAACCTAAATTTCCTGGATATTTATTCAACGAGTTTATGTTTTGAAATAGCGTAATTCGTGCTGTATTAAAAAGTTTACATTCTAAGAAAATTGACCAACATCCTCACAGGAATGTCCACAAGTGCATGCTGGATTATCAACAATCTTAACACGGAACAAATCATTTTTAAAAGAGCTGCACTGATGCCTGAGTTTTGTATGTAATATATTTAAATTGCGTTCGCCAAAATTATAATAAGATGCTGGAGACGAATTTGCACCACTGGATATAGCAGATTTAAAAGTATTTAAAGTTGGCAATGTTCTTATTGTATTGTCTAACGAATTCCAAAGACGTAAATCGATGGCAGAAAAGAAGAGTTGCTTGAGGAGAGTCTACAAGAAGGACTATTGTAATCATATCGGTTCCGTAAATTGAACCGATTGTTGTTACCCACTGTTTTTACGTAAAAGGGCCGATAAATAGCTGGGGGTTAAAATGTTTTTTCATTTCATTTAATTTAATTTATTTTATTTTGTTAACGCCTTTTTCTCCTCTCTGATAGTGTTTCTTAGCCCGTTTCAAAATATAATGAATCATTACTTGTATAAGGAGGCAGTCCTGTTATAATTTGAGCCGCCTCTCTTTGAGATTTCTCTAATTTCTCGGATTATAAAGCAGTGCAACCATCCCATAATTCATAGGCATATTCAAAGAGTGGTAAAATGAAAGATTTATAATTTTTTTAAAGTGAATCTCTTTTCAACAATTATTTGAGTTTTCGTAAAAAATAATCTATTTTTCTAACTTTTGGGAAGACACTGATGGAAGTCCACATGTGTATTGAGAGTCATGTGAAGATATTCATTAGACATCTTGTTTTCCAAACAGTCACCAAGCATGACCGCTATGGTCTCTGATTAGCTGAGACATATTTGACTATAACGTTTATACTTTTAGTATCAAAGTTTTACATGTACTTTTATCCACAAACAATGCACACGTTAAAAGTGTTGCAACGTTTCCCTTTGTATTTTTTACCTGTACAACAATCTTAGGCAGTAATGGGTCATACGTATGATTTAGCTAGTGCCCCCCTCGTCTTTGTTCATGTTTTTAGTTTTCCGGATTTTGATTGCTTCTTAAATTTGCCTCGTTTTTGTACATTGTATGTTACATGTATTCACTTTTAACTAGTTACATTGTATGTTACATGTATTCACTTTTAACTAGTTTTGTAAGTCTCAATCGATCATTTTTATTTTGGGTGTTAGCGTAATATGGTAATTCCGATTTATTGTACTAGGTGGCAGATAATTTGGGTGTGTTTCTGGTAAAACTGGTGTTTTAAGTCGTTCAGATATGTTCCAAACTTTCTCGTAGTTTCTCATAAATCGGATTTCTGCTGGTAATATCTCTCAGATTATGTTGCTGATTATGTTGCTGGCTGTTTGTACTGGTGTGTTTGTGAACAGTGAAACCACGTCGTGAGAGTGGAAACTGTCCTCTTCTTTGATAACGGCATTTACCAAGTCAGATACTAGAGGTTTGAAATTCCTGAGATGCTGTCGCTATCACAAAGAGGCAAGCACACCAACATACCCTGTCTCTTGCATATACACAAGCAAGCACACATGCACTACACACATGGAGGCACGTCCTTTTAAATGACATTAGCTGTTAATAAGACCGTTCAGCAAAATCAAACCAAACCAAACCTACCAATGGTGACAGTACATGTATGTCTGCCAAGGATCGTGACAGATTGTAGCCAATCGACCCAGTGTATGTAGTCCACTATAGGACGCAACGTGACGCCCGGTTTGAGGATTAGGGGCAGAATTTGTAGGTTGTAATGAAAGCTGGTGAAAGACATATTTACCTGACACTTTCAAACTTGAGTAAAAAATGACGATTTTGATAATATGGCAGCCATTGATTGGATACAAATGATCGTCTTAATTAGGGTGGCTTCTGATTGGTCGAAATCGAGATACTGTCTTATTGTAAGTTCCTACTTCATGTCTTAAAAGGCGACTTGTGTAGGGGTACGGCAGTATTAGGGACTTTCTGCTGTTTTCTGCTTAGCGGACATTGAAGGAGACAGTATACAATACCTGCACAGCGCCCCTAAGGATATGTTTTATTTCATAAATAGGCAGAAACTTAATACTCTTGGAGCAAGACAATAAAACCAGCACGTTCCCCCAGGAAAGGGTATTAATAGACATATTCAATTCAATTCAAATTTATTCGCACATTTGTAACTACAAAGTAGTTTGAAGGCAAAATAGTAAAACACAGTGAAATACATACATAGACATGTACATCATGTAGAAAAGTCGCAAAGTGATTGCTTATATTTCCAATATACATTAAAATGAATAAAATTAACATAGCTTCAGATAGAAAATTTGATTTGAACATTTTTAGCTGCAAAGTCCATACCTTATACTGTCAGCAGAGCCCACTATGCTCAGTTCTAGAGACTGTATAATGAATAAGAAAGAGTCAAGTATAAACTGCGAGTTGTTTGTAGATAATATTAAGGTCAAATAATTGGTATCTAAGGTAACATCATATATAAACACTTTTGCGAACAATAGCACAGTTCGCATAAAGATATATATATGGGGGACAGTGGACAGTGGACAGGTACTATTCTTAACACGATTCCCTCACGAAAACATACTAACAGGTTTCAGCCATACTACGCTAGCTCTGTTCCTAAGGGGACGTATCACATGTACTATCCTCATATTTGCAAATAAAGCTGGACAAATTCGATGGAAAATTGTAATAGACGGGTAGTACTACAATTCTCAAAAGAATACTCAGTCGCGCTGTCCCCCAACAAAGTGGGGGATGATTTCAATACAATCTGATTAAATGCAGAACTGTATTTCCACTCCGGTACTCTACGTTTCAATGAAAGTGAAATAAAGATCTGGTTTTAATCATAATAATTTTTATTAGACAGGTATACTATACTGCTCAAATTGGTACACTGGTTGTATGCTTTACTGTTCTGTTGAGATGCGACGTCATGTATACGTGTATAACGGTACAGATCGAGAAACACTCTGTGTGGTTACGCGTGCGGTACAAATCGTGTACACTGGCACTCGAGAACAATAAATGCTGGTATAGTACATAACTGAAACAGACTATAGATCTAATGAGACTCAACATTTCCCAATACCTCTGCTAGTGTTTCACTACCAGAGTTTCGGCCGGGGAGGGAGGGGGTTCGGAGAATGTGTGTGTGTGTGTGTGTGTTTGTTTGGGGCGGGGAGGGGGNAATGACACGCATCAGTAGAGTCCAATAAACAACAGGTCCCCACGCCCACTTTTGTTGCAATGATGTGGTAAACATGTGCTGCCGACCTGTTGAAATAATATTAACACGCTCTGAGGCTACTCATGAACCCAGCAAATTAAATGATAAAAAAACAAGAATCCGGCACGTGCTACTCTTATTGATAAAGCGACTAAAGCAGATTAAAAAAAAAAGTTTTCCGTGCAACTTGTTAGCCTTTTCAACAACTTGTAGCTAGAACAGTCTTTTCAAATATATATGTGTATAAACAATCTGGAATCACTTGCCGACTGATGACGTCGACTGTTTATAGAGGCGCGTGGCCATAATATGCGCTTATCACATTCACCGGTGATATTACGGCTGGTAAGATAAGGGGCAGATGTGGCTCCCTAACAAGATGTCGGAGGAGTGTGCCAACCATGGGAACATATCAAGTACCAAGGCCTTCATAACGAAGTCTATAACTCTGTACAAGTCGTCTGATTGATATATATTGCTTTACAATGTAACGAAAACTGCGTTATACATATGTACATGACATGTACACTGTATTTCATGGAACGCGGATAAAGGTAGTTAACGATGTCCTGGACTAGGTATATCTATAGATCTAGAATAG